ATATATGTATATATATATATACATATATATATATTCATGTGTAAAGTTTTTAGTAAAGTCATCTAATTCATTCATCTTGGTGATCCATTGTGTCCGTTCAGATGAGTTTAAGTTGTTCCGAGAGGACGGGATCTCCAATTACTCCACTATGTTAATGAGAGATGACCTTGGGCTGCTGCTGCTAGGGGCCAGAGAGGCTGTCTACGCCTTGGACATCCATAACATTTCGGTGAAAAAAGCTGCGGTACGAAAATACTAAATGAATAATCTCACTATATAAAAAAAGATTGGCTGTTGTTTGTTTACATCTGAGACTAATGGGAAAAATGTTTTTCAGTGATTAAGTTGGTTGGAGAATATGGTAAACTTGAAGATACAATTAAAAAAAAAAAAAAGTCAATACTTAGTACAAGTGCTTACTTAGCATCTTACTGCAGCTTATTCTGCACTAACGTGCAGCTTCCCTGTGTGCTTTACGGTGAGATACGTTTCCTGTGTTGATGCAGGTGTACTGGAGGGTTACTGAGGAGAAGCAGCGGGAGTGCACATACAAAGGAAAGCAAGCTGAGGTTCGTGTGGCATCTTTCAAAACACAGCAACTTTTACTACTCAGACCGAGATAAAGCCCATATAGGTCTCCCTTTGTCTGAGCTTGGTTCACCCCCCCCATGCAGCGTATCTCTGCGCATTGGTAAATCATTTATGTGGGAGTGTTCCTCTGTGCTGTTCTCAACACTTTGAAGTCCGGAGTGTTATACTCAAAGTCCAAATAAAGGCTCGGGGAGAAGCCTTGACCCTTTGGTCACCGGCTCAACTGTTGGGTCTCCACATGTGTGTGACATGTTTGTATTTTTGTGGCTGAGCTAACAAAGCTCTGACCTTGGCATTCTCTGGATGGATCTTGTTGCAGGTGGAATGCCGGAACTACATTCGAACCCTGCACAAAGTGAATGATACCACCATGTATGTGTGCGGCACCAACGCCTTTAGCCCCACCTGTGACTACATCGTAAGTATAGAACAGAATAGCATCATATGAGACAAGACTAGAAGTTACATTAAAACACAGAACATTAGCTTGGTCAGATTCAAGGTTTACATTTTTATCTTCTTGCAATTTATTTCTTGTGATATTTAAGACCTCACTTCTATAACCTTTTGACCTTGTTCCTGTAATTTAAAGACTGTTTTCGTCTGATCCCAGAATGTTTTTTTACCCTTTGTTTTGGACAGACATTTATTGATGGAGAGCTGAGGCTGCAGGCAAAGCTGGAGGAGGGAAAAGGGAAGTGTCCTTTTGATCCCTACCAGAGATACTCCTCACTCATGGTTGGTGAGTGTCCGAGTCAAGGAGAACCAAGCACAGCGTGATACGGAGGGCTCAGAGTTCACAAACACAAACCATGAGTGTATTAAGGGAGAATGTGCAGATTTGACGGACCTTGACGTAACTCCTTATTTTAGCTTTGTCAGTTCTGTAACTTGTTGGCGTATAAATAACATATTCTTGATACCTGTTGTAAAGATTTAAGTTCCTGGAATGTTTCCCTCATTTCTTGTTCCCGTCCAACCAGAAAATGACCTGTATTCTGCAACCTCCCTCAACTTCTTGGGCTCCGAGCCAGTGGTTCTGCGTAGCTCCAACCTGGCTCTTCGCACTGAGTTCAAGAGTTCCTGGCTCAGTGGTGAGTTCCTCTGCAAAGAAATTACAACTGAAAAAAAAAAGTTCTAAAGTGATTCGATGATTAACCTTGTAGCTCCTGATGTGTGTGCTTTCAGAGCCCAACTTTGTCTTCATGGATCTGGTGAAGGAGGGTTTTGAGAGCTCAACTGGGGATGATGATAAGGTGTATCTCTTCTTCAGCGAGAACGCCATGGAGTACGATTTCTACAGCAAAGTTGTTGTGTCACGAGTGGCCCGAGTCTGCAAGGTATTAAAAACAGCCAAATGCATCAAATGTCCGTCACATATCTGGTGGATGTAAATTCAGGGATCAGATCTGGTATCCTTTACTTTGGTCTAAAATTCAAACCGCAGCAATTTCCTACACTTCGTAGCCTATAAACGTATCTTTTTATTTGTTATTTGTCCTTCACTACAAAGCTGTTCAAATACACAGGTTCATATTTTTATGTTTTATAGAATTCTCAAAGTGAAAGTGAAAGTTGGTGTCACACGTCTAAAGTGCAGGCCAGGAATTAAACAGGTTTTAAGTGTGTCATAAATCTTGTTGACTGATTGAGGAAGACGGTGCCGAAGAGTGTGTTTTGCAGCAGGATATATTGCTGCCGTGAATCCTTCTGAATTACAACCCACTGCTTGGATTGTAAGTGTAGTGATAAAACACTACAGTCAGTGTGAATGCCTATATGATGATACGATCAGTCAAAGTCTCAGTTGAGCTCTGAGGTGATCAGTGATTGGTCATGCCAAAAACTACATCTTCTGTGTCTTCACTGCAGTTTCTGAATATGTTTATAAGACAGCAAGTGTTGTGTCTCTGTGTTTAGGGGGATATGGGTGGCCAGAGGACGCTTCAGAGGAAATGGACTTCGTTTCTGAAAGCTCGTCTGGATTGTTCCCTTCCTGAACCCAGCCTGCCCCCCATTGTCCTGAAGCATGAAGACTGGAGGGAGAATGTCTTCTACGCTGTCTTCACCCCACAGTCGTAAGTCAACTCATTGTTTACACACTCGGCATTGATTGTACCGAGTTATCATGGCACAGATTCGTCAGGCATTGTCAGGACACCTATGGGAGCTGTTAGCTGAGGATCTAAAGACACATTTAGGTATAAACTGATGAGGTCATTAAACTCTAATATGTGCCATGAAACATGAAAGTTATGGGAATTGAATTTGCTTTGTGACATAAGCGTTTTGTCAGTTCAGAAAGACATGGCCAGGTAGCCTCTGGCATTAATGTCATATTTATTTGTGCTAATGTAAATGAAGCACTTGCCACAATGGCCGCCGTACAAGGCAGGACTGTCGGCTTTATGTCATTCATGCAAAAGCTCTGAACCATAAATGTTGATGCTGCATCGGTGATAGAGGATCATGAACAAGGAAACGTGTGTTTTCTGTTGTCTAAGTTTATTGGACTCGTGTTAACTGCTGACAGGGGCCTTGGTTTTGTAACATTTTTTATTTATTTTGTCCTGGTTTACAATGAGGTGTGGGTATCTGACACACCACGCCATGTACCTTGTCTTCAACACAGCAGCAGTCTACTCTAGGAGATACAATTACATGACTGAAAAGTGACAAGCTTTTTTTAATGTCCCTTCTCCTCAAGGACCCCAAGTGGTCCCCCGACGGCCCATCAGTGAATCAATCAGCTCCTGCGTGGGGGCACAGCAGTGCTTTTGGTAGAGCTAATACATCAGGCCGTCTGTGTTGACGAACTTTTAGACGTGGGTAGATGAAAGAATGACTTCTTGTTAAAAAATTGTTTACACCTCAAACCTACTTGGTGCCCACGTAACTGCCTGAGTACCTGCAGCTTGACTTTCTCACAAATTCTCAGTGCGGGGAAAACCCTGAATTGCTGCTGTTTTCTGTATAATTTTCTCACTTTCCGAGCCTACTCTTTAAATGCTACGGGAGATTCTACTGAAAAATTCCAGCGGTAGTTTAAAAAACAAAATATAAGCACAGGGATCAGTCACCAATATGGCAATTGATGGACATTGTCCATAGAAATTTCACAGTGTCCTAATGTAGTTTGATCAGGTCTTTAGTTTTGAATCATTTTGTATATTATTCCAGGGAGTTAATGCAGGGAACGTAGATGAGTTTTTTTGTTCTTCTGTTTTATCGAATCTCGAGGAACTGAACATAGGTTCTAAGGCACCTGGTCATGGAGCATTTATGCATGTGCATAAATAATATGTCGATAATGTGCATGATAAAGCATTTATATGTTGTATATTTGTTACATTTGTATTTGAACATTTCCATTTGTCTGACCTGATGTTTGCAGCGGCCTGTCCCAGGCGTCTGCGGTGTGTGCCTACAGCATATCTGCCATCAGAGACATTTTCAATGAAGGAAAGTTCAAGACACCGGTCGCCGTCGAGACTTCCCATGTAAAGTGGGTGATGCACACCGGAGACGTTCCTGTCCCCAGACCAGGAGCGGTGAGTGTCACATAAATGATATTCTTTCTTAGCACTGAATCTTTCTGATTAAACCTTTTTTTTTTTTTTAGTGCATCGACAATGTGGCGCGGAACTTGGGGATGAATCGATCCCTGGACCTTCCTGACAAAACCCTTCAGTTCATCAGAGACCGCCCCCTCATGGACGACGCTGTTCGTCCTCTGACCGGAAGGCCGCTACTGGTCAAACAAGGGCCTCTGTTGACCCGGATTGTAGTGGACAGTGTGTTGGCACTGGATGGAAAGAGATATGCTGTCATGTTCATTGGCACTGGTAAAAAAACATTTTTAAAAGTAAACCTCATTCCTCAAAAATGTTTTTTTTATGGATAACAAAGTTAAAGTTGCACTATTTACATGTGAAAAGTAAAACCACACATATCTATTTTCTAAAAAAATATTTTTACTTTTTTTTAAATTGATATGATGATGCACACCAGCACTCCCCAACTTTTTTGTACTAAAGGCTGGTCGGTTAAATTTACAAAATCAAACATCTTTCAGACTTTCTTCTGTCAGTATCAGATTTTGAATGACCTGTTGTTTTGAAATATTGACAGATTATGTTTGAATGATAAAAGTAAAGGGATATGACGGGATTATTTTTGAATGAAGTCAATTAGTAAAACTGAAGTACAGGTACCAAGTGACCTATGGTCAGGAACCGGTCCCCGAACCGGGGTTTGGGAACCCCTGATGTAGACCATAGTTCTTAGATATTTCCAGGCCAAGGAGCCCTTTAACTGTTAGAGAGGGCGAGCAGGAGGCTCCGTTTGAATCTGTTCTTTTTCATGCTGGTCAGTTTGCGTTTTTGTCACTGTGATTCCCGTCTGAGTACGATGTTTATATTTCAATTCCCGACAGAAAATGGCTACATTCAGAAAGCTGTTAACTATGCTGGAGAAATGTTCATCATTGAAGAGATCCAACTCCACGAGAGTCCCATGCCTATCAACATCCTTCGCCTCTCGTCACCTATGGTAACTTTGTGGTTTTATAGCTGTGTTGTCACATACTACATAACGAGTAGTAACCCTAATTTGATGATGTCATGGCCTTGCCTGTGTATGTGATACGTAGTGGAGGTGACATCACCGGTTGTAAACACAACACAAGTACTTAGCACACAGTAAATCAGTGCGTGTCTCTGTGTGCTCCCACAGGGGCAGCTGTACGCGGGCTCAGAGTTCAGCGCAGTCCAAATACCAGTCAGTAACTGCAGCCGCTACCACACGTGCGTGAACTGCGTCCTGGCCAGGGATCCTTATTGTGCCTGGGTCTTCTCCACGGGGCAGTGCTCCTCGGTGTACAACTTAGCCCCAGTCTCAAATGCTGCAGTCCAGAGCCTGACGGAGGGAGACACCTCACGGTGTCCTTCGCAAGGTGCGGTCACATGACCAACACATCGTGTGGTTGTACTATTTGCAAGTATATGTTTAACCCTTTTGTGTCAGCAGTGTTAATTAAAATGTAGAAAGGGTAAGAATGTGTCGGTACAATACCAAATAATATATAGGTGCGACACAAATGTTATGCTTTATAAGTAGGGATGTCCGATATCTGATACGCGATATTGTACAAACACTTGATTTCTGATTCCGATATCAACCAATACAGATATAGTGGGCTAGCGGTGGCCTAGAGTGGTTTGCTTATCTGTACAAACCAGCATTCTGCATACAGTCTCCTGATTATTATAATAGATTAATAAAATGAGCTGCAATGCTGCTATCTAGTGACATTCACTTTCATATACAGATGTTTTTCCCCAAAACTATTCTTAAGGCACACATCATTTGGCGAAACCCAGGCCTTGCATTATCAGAGGGAAAAACAGATAACAATTCTTATAGATATTACGTAAATATGCTAATTTCGTGTGGATAATATTATCCCATATTATCGGACATCCCTATTTATAAAGCTTCTTTGTGGTGTACGTGTAAATGTATCTTTTGATTACTTTTAATCGTATGATTCATCTGTTGAAGTTTTTTAAAATTTGTGGCTAACATTTGCAACTTTTAGCTAACGTTTTGTTTTCATTATTTACCAGCTTTAATTGCTGTTTGACGTTTGATTTTAAATGCTATTATTTCTAACTATTTCCACTTTTGGTGTTTTGTCTAAGGTCCTGTCGCCGCTCTGAACCTAACACTGGTTCTAGGGAACAACATCCAACTGCCCTGCCAGCTCCTCTCCAACCTGGCACAGGTCCGATGGCGTTTCTCTGACCGGAGTCTCCTTTCTGACCAAAAATACTACATCTACAGCGGGGGCCTGCTGATCCTGAGGGCCAGCGAGTCAGATGCTGGTGTTTATAGTTGTGACTCGGTGGAGGAGATTAAGGGCAGGATGTACAACCAAACTGTAGCGGTTTATCGTTTACAGCTTCACTCTGGAACAGAAACGGGGGTCAGCAGCACTCCTGGCAATGAGGCGACAAATTCCTCCATCTCTGCTCACACAGCTGCGCCGGGACTGCAGGACTTAAATGTGACCAGTGAGGACCCGCTGTCCCCTGAGACTCTCAATGAAACAGTCAGTGTAACAGGATTGGAGGTGGCTGTTGCTCTGCTCTCACTGATTTGTCTCTGCCTGCTTGCAGTCTTACTCTTCCACTGGAATCAAAGACGCTGGAAATGTTTAAAGTGTGTTCCACCACTCCAGAGCCAAAATGACATTGCAGACAAAGAGCACACGTGCGAGTACATGCACATCCCCAACAGGAGCTCAGAGGTAAAAATGCTGGGGTCTGATAAACCGTACACCGCCAACAATAATCACACGGCTGTCGACTTCAAAAGGAACGGGGAGCAACACTTCACACCCAGGCCCCACATTTCAAGTGTGGGTGGTCTTGGATACATTAATGATGAGTCAGAGATTTGACTGTGCTCAGGTGTAGAACTCTGAGAATGAGACCTTTTTCAGGAACCATTTTCACATTAGAAACCCTTCGGCTCCTGTTTCTCTCGTTTTGTTTCTCGTCATCCTGTCATTTTTGCAGTCTTCCCTGGCAGCTGGTGAAAACACGTGTACTCCTTGTCTCTAGGAAATTGTCGAATAAGACGTTGTTATGCAGTACTTTATGTATTTTTGTAAAATGACTTTATGTGAATATGATGTGTGTAATATAATATGTACAGCCAAAACTTTAAAAAGACTATTTATTTGGAACGGTGATGTTTTATACCGGGTGTGAAAGACGCTGATCATGTTTCCAGTTGCATTTCATGTTATGGATCTTTACCTTAGACCACGTTCATGGGACACACCACTGTCTTTGGACAACTGATTCAAACCAGGTTTCATTCCTCATTGGCTGATAAAGCATGAGCCACTGCTGTATTCTCATGTTTAACCATTCACATGTCCGACCTTAGGAAATACTGGGTGAACCTCCAATCAAGATACATTAACACTGTGTCCAGCCAATCAGAGCTGTTTGCATTAATGTTAATTAGTGTGCAGTAATGTCAGTAATGTCTTATAGAAACACTGCTGTTTTCAAGATCAAGTGCAAAAACAGGCAGGGGTGTCAAACATACGGCCCGCAGGCCCAAACCAGCCCACCAGAGTGTTTTAAAAAAAAAAAATTACACAAACACTTCCTGTTTGTAAAATTATATTTCATTAAGTATGAATAAATATATAATACTGTATACTTGCACTTCTTTGCATGAAAACAAAGGGGGTACAAAACATGGACTTGTTATTTATACTTAATTATGTTACAATTGGTAAATTAGGTGGTATGTGGCCCGTGAACCAAAATGAGTTTGACACCCCTGTTCTAAGGCATCACATGCCGGTAGAACTTTACAGGTATGGGCTTAGAGTATGAAGAAAAAACATACTTGCTCAGAATGATAATAACATATTTTGATGTGTACGTGTTTGTCATGTTCATGTTTGAAAGACAGTAAGGTTTGGAATGCATTTTGAAAAAACAAACTCACATGCAAATGCACCGGGGCTGCTTGATTTGCCTATTACTGTAGTATATACCAATGTACTATACATAGATATGGTTCTGTGGAGGCCAATTTAGACTATATGTTTATATATATATATATATAATTAATTATTCTTATAGGTGTCTTGACCTTTAGCCAACAGTCAGTGTACCAGGGTTGTTTTACACCTAACCTATTATAATAAAATGAATGAAAGGATAAAAAAAATATTTATTATTTACTATGCATAAATAATGCAAATTACATTATTATATTTTGCTCATTCTGTCAGATTTGCCGAATATAGTTTGTTATCAATAATGTGATCAAATTGTCCCCTTATATTTCCGTCTGAACCAAAACCTTCCAGTGTAGCTAGGGTAACACGGGAAGAGCTGAGCTGAAGTCAGTGTGTGTTAGTTCATCGTTAATATACCAGCACACTCAACAAGCAACTCCTGCACTTTAATGAGATGCAAACCATGTGCGTAAAGATATTTATTGAAATGTTGCAATTTTAAAGATCAATTTCTCATCTGTTACATTATCATGGAATAGAACAGCAAAAACAAAATACTTCTTTTTCTATGGCAGTCGGGCACAAAGGACACTTTGTAACAACAAAAGAAAAATCATACTCATACTACAGGCACAGGTTTCCCTTCCAGTGTGCGCTCATGCTGCAAAAAAGGCTTTGGTCTGCAAAACAATAAGACTGAGCTGTTTACCTTATCACCACGGCGTTATGTGAAATGACAGAACATTTGGCTCACGGTCACTTTCAGACAGATTAACTGCATTCACAGGCAAGATTTCATCTGTTTGCTAATCCATATATTGTACAACACAGCCAATATATCCCATATTAAAAACCCCTTATGTAGCCTCACATATGAACCAGCATTTGGCAGACACAAACGCACGCTCACTAAACGAGAACATTTGGTCTGTGTTGGGGTTAACTGAAGAATGCAGGACCGAGATAACAGCTGATAAAGTGCTTTCACTGCAGGGTGCTGAGCACTCAAAGGAAAATGGTAGTTTTAGAACTACAGAAATACAGTGAACACAACAAACATTACCTTTGGAAGTGACTTTTGAAGGTAATGCTGTCAGGAAAAAAATATTTTTGGCACGTGAGGGGTTTAGCACCATGACTTCTGAAAGGTTGGCACACTTTTAAATCTGAAATGTATATGTTAATTTAAACAAAAGCAAAACTTGTTTAAGGCGCGCAATCAAGCCATTCTTTACATGCAAGGTCTGCACGTCAAAGTCAGGCCCTCGAGAAATCACAGTTGAAGCAACCGAGTGCAGAGATTATACACACTCAACTGTCAGATGGTAAAAAAAAAAAACACATGCACAGTTACAGAGTTAATGTTTGCCAGATAAAAAAAGGATCCTGTACTTAAGCTAACATGCAGCTCTGCAATGATCCCATTACATAAGGCACACAACTTTTACACACTGCTGATGTTGAACTTTTTTTTAAATTTAATTTTCTTTTTTTTTTAATCATAACTTGCAAAACAAATGTCTTAGAAAATAAAAAACGTATCCATTCATTCATTCAAATCCATATTCATTAAACATAATGTGAAAGAGAATATCATAATTTAACGACTGTTGCCCCATATCGATAAAACGTTGTCACAAAGATGAAATGAATACCAATAAATGCTGCTCTCGCCACCTAGTGGTAGTGCTTGGCTTTCACCAATGACTGTTGTCTGGATAGCTTGGCACTGCAGTGGGATACTGAGGCAAGGTCGGGCCTTGAGCTGTTTGAGCGACAACAGTGACCCCTGCTGACGGAGCATTTTTCCACACCCCGCTGCTCCACTCTTCCTGGGCGCGTTGCATACTACCGCCACCACCGCGGTACAGTCTGTGAACCTGTAGCCACAAAACACAACCTGTATTAGGCGGTTTTTATCAGATGTTTTCTCACCACCTCTTTATATTTTATTTAATTTTTTTAAGTTCAATCTTTACAATCAGGCACTTGCTGACTTTCACTTGAGACCAAATGGAGCTGCAGTGAATGGGTTAGGGTTATGAAATATCACAGTTAAATATGTCACAGAATTATTTTTTTCTCACAAGAATACTTCCCAAGTAGTTTCAATTGACTGTGATGGGGATTCACATTTTATTGTCTGGTTAGTGGATTTCAAATGACAGCTGTTGACTATTATCCTAATCAATCAATTAGCAGACTTGGCTTTGTTAATGAAAAACACCTGTTGTGTTCATTGGTACTTTTTCAAGCCTAAAGCAATATTTTTCAGCCGTGACAAATTAGTCTCACTTTCAGATTTCAAACAATATTAAGGAAGTCGATTTCTTCCCCTAAGGAAAGTTAGTATCTCGTAATTATGAGTTAGCAACGCATTATTTTGACTTAAGATTCTATCCCCCCCCCCCCAAGTCTCAGAAATGGGCTAACAAACAGAAACACAAAAGAATGAACCTTCTGTTCTACTTTGGCTTGTTGGCATAATTTAAAACCAATATTGACTTTAATAATATTGACTGCAAGGTCTATCAAAACGTGTTTTGTAAATTTGGCCTTAAAATTTTTTTTCAGTTGACTACATCCAACCTGACTAAATATTACTACAGCATTGTAACGCACTACCAGTAGAGCGCTTTAGCCTAATTCTCCCACAATGCAATATGTTGATACAGAAAATCTGTGAAAAATATCAGGCAAATGTATGTTCCCATTAGACCCTTGGCCAATTCCTCAAACACATTTTTTAAGCTTACTTTGAGCAATTATCAGTAAACTTTACTATTAACTTTTTAAATTTTATTATTTCATGTTGTAGATAGATTCAGGCTCTGACTTAAATGGATTTCTGACACTTTTCAAAGCTAGCTTTGAGCATGTTTTTCTTCACTCTTATGGCTCCTCTAGCCATTTTAAAATAAATAAACTATCTTAAACCAAACAACTTGTGAACTACTAAGTACATGCATGCAGTTTGTTCCGGGTGTTGAAGCCCAGCACCATGCCAAAGTGTCTGTCCTGTTTTTCCAGTGGGAGAGGCAGGAACTACAGTCACGTGTTTGTGTTGTTAGCCGTCACTGTTTACTTACCCTAATGAGCACCAGTGCCATAAAGAGAGTCACCACAGTGAAGAGCAGAGTTGCAATGAGCATGACAATGGCCGAGCCCACGTTACTGCCGAAAAACATCACTGTGGCAATCCAGCCGCTTTGTTGCATGGGTGAGAGTGAGATGGAGTAGTGAGGGTTAGTGCACAGCAAAGGTTACAACAACATTTCACTCAAATCACTTGTGAGACACACAGAGATGCAGTGAATTAACAGTTGACCAGGAGACTCTCTGCCAACAGATGGAATGGCTGTAGTGATAGTTTCTGCAGAATTTTGTTGCACATCAGTCTGTTGTCACCATGACTGGGTTTTGTCTGTTCTGAGCTCTTCAATAACAGACAACAGGGCTTTGAGTCAGTGGTATTGAATCAAATTCATAGTGGCTGTTTCCGAAATCACTCACTCCCTACTCTGTATAGGGAACTATATATAGCACACTATAGAGTGGACTCACTGGTTGATTGAAAAATTGTTTCAGACACTACTTCGGTCCACAGGTAATTACGCCATTACTGATGCACAATTAAAACGGACGCAGGGAATTATGCTACTCTCTCCGCCATGTCGTCACAAACTCAGTGCATGATATGGGATATATTGCTTGGGTAGTGTACATCAGATTTTGCGGTGCATTCTGGGATACACAGAGGACCTCATATAGACCTCACTAAACATCGGACACCACTACAAAATGTACATATGTAGTAGGGTGTTGTGCCACAGACTCTTATGGAATCATTTACACAATTCAACATCGAACTCTGTTTAACATGGTGACACAGGTGACATTTCCAGTCTAAGCTTTCAATTTAAAGGTATTTTAAAGGTATCAAATTTTTAAAAATCTAACTAAAATCATTTTCAAAAATTCAGTTGCACTGAATCCACTCACCATGTTCCCCAACCAGGTATGCCCAGGGTCTGGATTAGAGCTAAAACACACTGAAGGAAGAAGATGAAGAAGAAGGCCATAAAGTTGAACGAGCTATCAGCCCTACAAGAGCATAAAGGGGAGGAGAGAAAAAGATGAAGCGGAGGAAAAAAAACCCCACACTGCTTAGTACCCTTCATAACATAACACCAATTACTGGTGGGGCTCTTACTAGACACAGGGAAACAGCTGGAATTATGAGACCCGATTAACACAAAGGTAAATATTAAAGACTCAAACCTTTTGATTTATTTCTGTTTTTAACATTTATTAACATTTATTACACATGTATCCTAATAGGTGTTGGAGAAGGAGGAAACGTGAGCTACACCCACGGGTCACTATTTCCTTGCACAGCCATTTAGGCAAATTATTTAAACTCAAATTAAACTCAAAGACTAGGCAATACTCTAATTAATTAGAGATGCCCTGATTCCAGTGCCAGCATTTAATATCTATTCTATTAATTTACTGTCACCTGAAGGCTTTGTAAAGGGGTCTAAACCAGCAGGTGTAACTGCATGGACTGTAGAGGATCAGCCAGAGCAAGGAGAAACCAAAGTTGGTAGCACTTCCACCACCGGCCCACCAAGCAATACATCCAATGACATTAAAGCAAAGGATGCCTGAATACACTGTAGAGGAGAGAAAGCGAGAGAGAGAGAGAGAGGGAGAGAGAGCATGTATGCAACATAGTAAACGCATGAGTAAAAAGAAAGCCCAATGTTTAAAAAAATTAGAAACATACATTTGTTGATGTGCAAACAAAATCACATACTCATCCAAAGTTTGTAAATTCTTTGCACTAGCATCTGGTGCGGTTGGGGTATTTCCTCTTCAATGTTCTGATAAAAGCATGGCTTAATTCTCAAAAACCGAGGAAGTGGAGGGAAATTGTTTGCACGTTCTGGAACAGTAGACAAAATGTCATTGTGGTCGATTGTGATCTACCTTTTTTTAAAATTGCATTTCAATAATTCAAAATACTGAATGGAGATGTTAAATAGAAAGAAACACATAACATAAAAAGACAGATGTAAGTGCTGTAGGTAGGAGACACATAGACACATAGACCGAAAGAGAAACAGACACTGAGACAGTCAGTGACAAACCTGTCATTTTGAAATTCCAGTTGTTTTCTAGAAAATGAAAAAAAAAACAGAAGTCTCAATGAATCATGGGGGCATACGTTACATTTGTTTTTTCTCTTTAGTTATACTATATAAACCATTTAGGTATGTACACTAAACATGGATTCGTACAGTTGGTGTGATTTTTTCCAACTTTGTGTAAACTCGTCGGGACTGTAAATATAAAACTATACACTCTCCATTTTAATTTAACTACACAAATGTGACATTTCGATACCTTAACTTTGTATAAATGTGATAAACACAACACGGAGACGTTCTGCAGCAGAGTAGTTAGATCGGAGCAGATAAAAGGCTGTTTCTCTGTTTGGGGCGTTTTAGGTCGTTTGACTGAATAGCTAGCTAATGGTTAATAACAATATAAAAGACTGCTAAGATTAAAGAGCATTTTTTAAATGAATCATGTTTTACCGTAACGGCGATTAATCCCTCACGTTTATGGCGACAACTGCAGGACTCCTCGAATCATTCCGAATGCGCTTTTCGACAATATATTGCGCCTGCGTAGAGCGATGGCTCTTGTAGTTCCTTACTGTTTACAACCAACAACAAACGAGCGCGCGAGAACTACAACTCCCATCATTCCACTATTCAGTAAATGGGAGACGCGTGATTAGGTGACACCCGTTCTCCTGAATCCCACCCATAAACAGTTTTTTTTTTTTGGTAGTGAGGAATTTGGGATATCATTTTTGTGGTTTAAACCCCGTTCCAACTAAATATATTTGATGAATAAACCGCTTTGAAAGACGAAAGTGGTTTAAATGTGCATAAAAGTTAACTGGACAAAGAACATAACTAATTTTAAACACAAAAATATAGGTACCGCAAAGCCATGCTTTGGAGCTGTTCTTCGTCTATAAAGTGAATTAGTTCGGGAGGATAGCCTCTCCTTAGAGTAGTTGTTCCGTGATAAATGCTTTTTTTAATTATTCGAATAGAGGACATGTTTTCGGCTGGTTAAAGCTGAGCCAGCACAAATTACACTTTAAAAAGAAAGGAAGAAAAAAACGTCAAAGAGCAATCGGTCCCAATGGCCAATGTACCAAGAGTGCTTCCGGTTTACTTTTGCTTTTCACAAATGTCAATTTTTAACAGGTAAAATTTAGGACTAAATGAAAAGAAAATTTTAAAAAAGCACAATTTCCGAACATATTTGTGTTCTGAATGTCGAGTCAAACATATTCCATGTCTAACTCGACATTCAGAAACATCGTTTTATGCGAAACCTAAAAAAAACTTTACATTTCTTTTTAACACAGCATAAACTAGTTCTCTGCCCTAACACATGTTTTGTTAAACTGTAAGTGATGGGTTAAAAGCAGAGGCTCGGTTTCGTTGTATCCCCGTGGTACAATGAGAAGATTATACTATTAAAAATATTAAAAAAACAAAACAAAACAAAAAATTCAGGTCGGTCTGCAACATTAAAAAGATTTGCAACTTACAGCACATAACAGACAGACAGAGGTATAGAGTGAAGAGTGTGTATTTGTCTGAAATAAATAATACAAATTAAATTTCTAAAAAATAACTGCCAAGACTCTACTTACATACGTAGCCCACCTAAAAATTCAATTATGTAATACTTTATCTCGACAAGCACAAGAATAGACTGTTTGATTACAGACCACATTCACAATTCATTCGTTTCTTCATCACCAGTTTGATTAAGTAACAATTTCATCTAAACTAGACATTTCACTTAATCCCAACCATTCATGGCAACCACAAACATGGCAACCTTAGCTACCGGAAGTCAAATAAGGGGACCAATCATAAATGCCGTCTCTTCTGAGAGAAGGCGCGTCATGTGTGACGAGCACCCGGTTGTTATTAGTGGGCGGATATTGTCTGTAAAAAAGAAAATACAAACATTGAGGCAGTGTATGCATCTTAGTTAAACATTTCGCTAACTTTGTAAAGTAAATTATTTTTACTTAAGTTTTTTTTATTTGAAATAGCCTCAGCCCTTGTAACGCTGCGGAATAAAAGAATGGGGGAATAATAACGCGCCCCCTGGAGTTGAGCGATGATTCAGTGTTGACCAATCATTGAAGGCTGTTGACGCAAGCGACACAATCCCGCCAATTCCGACTGAGGAGCGCGAGACAGACTGGCTTCCGCTGTGTAGACAGAGGGAACATGTGTCGGAGATGCGGATAGACAATACCTCGTCTGTTTTATCAGAAATAAAATTGAGGTACATGTTGTTAAACTAAGAGCGTGATACCTTCGTTTTGATACATTAGGAATTTTAGGTTGTTACGGGACGTGTTTAGCTGTTTTGAGGTAATTTTGTTCGAGAATTACGCGACCGAGGGTAGCCCCCGGGTCAGTGTTTGGGATGTTAGCGGCTGCAAACCCTTCTGTAGAAGAACATTTTGCTGCATCTGCACTCAGTAGGAGAGGTAAGATTAGAGGTTAAACTTCCTAATGCTTTGAATTCTATTATTTTACTCGCGAATGCAGTTCGTCAGTATTGTATATGCTTGTGTGCTGTGTGGCAACGGAGAAAATAAGATAGTATAGTTTTTTTTTATCGATATCCATAACTTTTCGTCTAAACACTAAGCTGACTTAATTGACCTTACTTTTGACTTTTTCTTTGTTCTGACAAAACAAACTTGAACTCATTTTTATCTGTTATCTTGACATTGTGCCACTATAAACATTGAAACTAGCTCTAATCGGCAACTGTATGTTAGTTTTATGAGATGATAAGTTAATGAATTAAGTAGTTGTCGTCGAATAAAGCTTCATATCTTAAGGCTAGATTATATATAGAGGTAAAGAGAACGGATAATAATAACGAAACCTGTTTTCATCACAACACATTATATGCTTTATGATATGGAGGTAGCACCTCAGACGAATTAGGAACCATTGCATCATATATTGGGATACGTTTGGCGTCTAAGATTCAGTTTGACTTAGGTCAAAACTTTATATCATTGTCTTTAACTTTATCGGCCCGGTTGTAAAACTAGCTGACTACTCCTAGCTGTGTCTGTGGCCAATTGCTAAGTAGCTAGTTATGTGAAATTAGCAGAAAGCTAGCAGTGCTAACAGTAGCAAACATTCACACAACTATCTCCACTGAGCCCAACGTTATCACCGTTTCACTCGTCCACTTTTCCTGTTCCTGTCATACACAGATCTCTAACCGTTTAAAGTTTTAGTGGTGCTTTTAGGTTGGATACTGTGTCGTCCAGTCAGCCATCTTTTTTTCCCTGACAGGGCTTTAAGGTGCGTGTCCTGCAGATTAGACCGGGTCAGCTTCAGCTTTAAGAAAGACAAGGGTTGGCGGGAGAGCAAACTAAACACAACCTGCAGTGGATGTCTGAAATGCATATTCTAATTTTTCTGTGCTTTTATTTGTTTCAGGCATGGATTGCAAGCAAAGTAACAATGCCAACAAGAAACTTGTACAAGGTACAAACCAAGGGGTTATTTTGTAAACAATAAGATGTAAAGGAAAGTAGATTATACTGCATGACTATAATGAAATTTTTATTAAAGTGGATTAAGTCTATCTTTGGATATCACGTATTTGTTAATCACTTACTATTCACCCTAAATGTTTTCTTTATATATATATATGTAGAAACACAAATTGATGTTATAGTGTTTTTTGTAGTTCTATGAAAATGAAACTAACAAATTTGACCTTTGCCGTTTTTATTTTAAAAATCAACAGAACACTTAACCAAATAAATAAAAAGTGTTTTTTCTTTTTCCCCACAGCTCGTCTCCCATTTAAACGTTTAAACCCAGAACTTAAAGACCAAAACCAGTCACCGAAACGCCGCTGTGCACATGCAGTTCCTGAACCTACAGACATGGAAAACGAGTCATCTCCTAACTCCGTACAAAACAGACCACCCTTGGTTAATGGTCGTGGTCCCCTTGATGGCTTTTTGAGCCGAAGGTCTCCTGAACCTTCAAATGAGGACATGGTCATAGATCTGACTGAGGACAGCACTTCATCTCCCAAAAAGTGCATTAGTGCTCCCACTCCTGCCTCTTCTTCCTCTGCAACAGAGGGCAAAGTTCAGGGCGCAGAAACGTCCAGTTCTTCTGAGACATCCAGCAAGCCTGATGAAACTTGCACAAACACCTCGGACTACAAAACTGTCAATGTGGATGAAGAAGAAACTGTGGAAGAACATGACGTTTCACAGCTTGACACAACCCAGGATTCTGATAGTGAATCAGAGGAGCATAATGAGTCTGGAAATATCTCCAGTTTGGGAAATAAGTCCATGCTGTCGGCATCAACAGTCAGCTCTACATCTGAAAGTTCGCCAGAGAGGTCCAAGACTGATGACCCCGTTCCCACTACACCTACGGTTGGCACATCCACTACTTTCTGTCTTTTTTCCACATACCTCCATTAAAAAGAAATTAATTAAGAAATTTTGCATCACCCAATGTTATTAATTAAAAAATAACATATCATGTAAATTGAAAAAAAATGCAGATGCAACTGCATTTCAGTCATGATCTTAACTGCAATCTGATATAATTCACTATTTTAAATGTAATAGTCTAATATGTTGAACATAAAACACTGTGATCAGGTTTGGTTTTCTTTTCACATTGTAGGAGCCAAAGACTACGCCCACTACAGCAGATGAAAGAAAGGCTAAAAGGCGATCGATAAAGGTACGACTCTTACATAGGTTTATGCATAATTGCTTTTCCTCTGTTGGCCGTCTCAACTTGACCTTTACCACGTGTGATACTACAATAATGTGTTTTGCGGGATAACCTTTCATAAAAAAGAAAAAGGAAAACATGACCTCAAACCCTTTGAGGAACATAATAACAACTGCATTTTTGCCATTGTAGACTCTACAAGTGCAAGATGAGAGACTGCGTATGCGCCAGGAGAAGGAGCGCCTGAGAGAAGAGGCTAAAGCTGCAAAAAACAAAAAGAAGGAAGAGGCTCGGAAACTGAAAGAGGAAAAGGAAAAAGAAAAAAGAGAAAAAAAGGAAAAGGAGGAACGAGAAAAACGTGAAAAGAAAGAGAAGGAGGATAAAGAAAAGGCTGACAGGCTAAAAGCTAAAGAAGAGCAACGAAAAGTCAAACTAGAGTGAGTAATTCAAAGTTCCTCTCAGGCCCAAACCTGCATACAATGTGCATGATAACAACTTTTTTCTTACTGTGATGGAATTTACCATAGGGCAAAGCTTGAGGAAAAACGGAAGAAAGAAGAAGAGAAGCGAGTAAAGGAAGAAGAAAAACGGTTAAAGGAGGAAAAAGATGTGAGTTTTTGAAAATAAAATATGTTGATTGGAGAGAGAAGATTCTACACAAAAGTCTGACGACTGTGACTAAATAAAATATGTTGATTGGAGAGAGAAGCTTCTACACAAAAGTCTGACGACTGTGTGTGTCTGTTTACAGCGTCTTAAAGCTGAGAAAGCAGAAATTACCCGTTTTTTGCAGAAGCCCAAGATTCAACAGGCTCCCAAGGTCAGTAGGTTTTTTTCTTGAAATTTACTGTTGTAATAAATCTGTACTGTCATTCCATGGATCCACAGGTCCATTGGTGGTGAAGGATCAGAATAGGGCCAACATAGTCAGCTCTGTAGTGATAGTGTTGAAATGATGATATATGAAAGACCAATAGATACCAATGGATTATGTAATCAGAGTAAATATGTGGTGATCTTTAACAAAAATAAAGGACTCTTTGATTTCACATGTAGATGTTATCATTTAAACCAGTAAAACATTTGCTGAAGTTATTCACTGTCTTCATTCACTGTATGTTCCCTGTCCAGTGTTGTATGGACTTCAGTCGACGTATGTTGTTTCTTCACTGTTTTAGACACTTGCTGCTGCATGTGGGAAGTTTGCTCCCTTTGAGATCAAAGAAAACATGGCTTTGGCACCGCTCTGTCGCGTTCAGTGTGCGGACTCTGTCTTGGAGGAACTTGACCAATGCTTAGTGAATCAAAATCGTGCCCAAAACGGACTTAGAGAGTGGATTGGGCGACAGCCACGTCAGTCAGGACCCACCAACCCCAGACAGAAGAGAGAACTGCTGAGGTGAGACAAAAAGGTTTCTTAGGGATTTTAATTAATTGGCTGTTGACAATTTAAACTAACAGTTTATTCAAAAGAGTAGTGTCTTCATCTTAAAATGTTATTCTTGAAAAAGAGGTAATAATAAAACTTACAAAATTAAATAAAGCCCAAGTGCAGAACATATTTTATTTATGTACATATTTTTACTGTTTATGTATGTACATAAGTTACATTATAACTGTTCTTAAATGAATCATTAGCAGGGATGAAACTCCTGGCCTTACGTACTTATGTTTGTTGTGTCCACAGTGACTGCGTGGCAGTGGAGGTGCCTAAACCAGAAGGAGTGCCAGACCGTAAACGTTATGGAGCCATGAAGCTCTTGCAGTTTCATGGAAACTACCGTCCAGCGTACTGGGGCACCTGGAGCAAGAAGAGTTCACGCATCTCGCCGAGATTCCCCCTGAGACTGGACAAGGTAAATTTTCATGAGTTGCTGCAACACTTGGCCTTTGGTCTCTTTAAAAATTCATTTATATTTTTCAAAATAAAATATTAATTGCCTGTTCTGACACCACAGGATTTGTTAGACTATGAGGTGGACAGTGATGAAGAATGGGAGGAAGAGGAGCCGGGAGAGTCATTGTCTCATAGTGAGGGGGTAAGTTGTTGGAGGATAATAAGTAAGTGTTTCTTTTGAGCAACAAACGTTCTATGTTTTCTAAATTTTCAAACTTCTCACCTATCACAGGAAGACGAGGAAGAAGCAGGCGAGGATGATGATGAGGACGACGATGGCTTTTTTGTTCCTCATGGCTACCTTTCAGATGATGAGGGAGCACTGGATGAGGAGGTAAATCTGAAATGCACAAACATAAAGTCTTTGTCCTTCTCCCCTCCACACCCAGGAAGTGCTAACCTTTTTTATTGCAATGTGAAGTATGACATTGAGTAAATCATTGACCAGTCATTGTGTCCAGCTTTGAACAGACAGCACATGCACCCCTATGTTTTTAAAGATGATGGTTTGTTCCACCGCCTTAGCATTTCACCTTTGATCTAATGTCAAAACCAAATATCAACAGTTGGAATATTTAATAACACGTGTGACTCTGTAGGAGGGTGGCGACCTGGAGAAACAGAAGCTGCGTCAGAAATTGAAAGCAAGGGAGTGGGATGAGCTGATGTCCACCAAAAAGAAGATGAAGGTGCTGGAGCCAGTGGTGAGGGGCTGCATGTGGGAGGGAGAAGGAACTACTTCGGAAGTGTTCCAGCCCTACAGCGTCTGTCTGATTGAGCCTTTACCCAAGATGGACAATAGCCTGAGTCCAGATGAGCTGTCGCGGAAGTGTCAGAAAGAAGCAGAATGTACGTGTGTGGCCCGAGGCTGGATTAAATCACATTTTCCACTACTAAATATTGTCAAAGGCACACATGCTAATGGCTTTGGGCTTCTTTTCTCCTCAGTACTCGGTCAGCTGCTGCCTCTGCTGCACGGCAATATCAACAGCTCTAAAGTGATCATCAATGAGTTTCAAGAGTTTTGTCGTCGGCAGGCGTCTTCTTCATCATCAACCACACCACCGCCACCTGAACTTTCTAGCCCCCAAAGCCCAGTAGAAAAAATCCCCAGCAGGTAAGTTGATGTGAAAAATTCCTAAACGTTCAACATGAAGAAATGTAATGAAAACTACGTATCCACACAAACGTTTCCCCATCTCCTCCCTCCGATCAGGTTACAGCTGAAACGCCTGATCAAGAACAATGCTATATATGAGAAGCGGTCCACCTACAGACGCTGCTGCTGGTATGTCCACACTGAAGTCCTGTCACGTTTTAGCCAGGACGGTCTTCCTCTGCCCTGTCAGTGGACCTACTTGACTACGGGAGCGAAAGAAGAAGAGCAGGCGGCCACAGGCTCTCAGGGAAACTCTCCTACTACACCTCAGAACTCCTCCACCTCCTCTTCAGCATCAAACAAGAGAAAGAGCACGGGGAGCATGTCCATCACCAAGTTCATGAAGAGGTGTACTGATACTGAGCAGGTACGAAAACACTCATCAGTGAATGGTCACTGTGAGATATCATCCTAAAGGGAATGTGGTGATTACATCTCTAATTTTTGATTCTGTCCAGACGGAGGCAATGGAGACTGATGGTTTTCAAGCTGACACTGAAGATGACGATGAAGAGTGTGTAATTATCTCTGCAAAAAGTGGTGAGTTACACAGTGCTCATTCAAAATCAACTCAAACATTCTGTTTAAAAAAAAATTTGTTTGCAGTCGCCTTTAAGCTTTGTCTTCTTAAATGGCAAAACCAACAAATAATTGCCCTGATGCCTCATTGGCTTGAGTAGTTGAAAAGTGTGTTGATAAAGGTTCACTATACTCCAAGTATCAGGCCCAAAAAACATCTAAATAGTATCTATTCAGATGTAAAAAAAAAAAAAAAAATCTAAAACTGATATCTAATTGTCGTGATCCCACTCCTCAGGTCCAGCCAAGGAGAATGCCTCCACTAAGGGAGATGTCCCGATGGAAGTTCTGCCCTCTGACACGGCTGCTCTTCCTGTTGCCAGCGTAGCTTCTACCATTGCCACTGCCTGAGGTCAGGATAAGACCCTCTTCCCATCCAAGCTACTCCTGTTTTGGTTCATCTGTCCCTTTTGGTACTGAACATTGCTGTGTTCTGGATTGAATATAGTCTTCAAGAAAAAAAATCAAGCACTGCCCTCTGGTGGAGTAAACCCACGGTAGGTGGCCTCTCAGGACTGTTTCCCCTCCTACCTAATATATATTTTTATGAAGGCCAGGTGCTGTTCTGTCAGTCAAATGTAATTGAGTTTCTGACCTGAATACAAAGGGCAGCTTCGTCCAATTTACTGTGCAACCATTGGGGCCATTTTTTTTTCTCTCTCAACGGTGGCATTCAGTCAGGTGTGACAGTCATGGGCCTCTTAAACAGGTGAGATGAGGATCTCTCTAGCACTGCTACAGCACACTGGGTTGAACAGAGGAGAAACGCAGAATGGAAAAACCTAATGTTCTTCAGAAGCACCGAAACTGGTAGTAAAGCATTATCTACGTTTCACACAACACGACACAGGTTTACTAGGTTCCTAATGTACTAATGGGGAAATGCTGGGCTGAAAGTCCATTGGTTTTTCCTGTTGATTTCAGTGGGAGCATTTACTCTGCAATATCCGACTCTGACAATTCACTGATATAGTTGCTAGATCTGTACTTGTACAGTTAGGTCCAGTGTAACAATGTTTTATAAATATGTATTTTCTGTATTTTCAAGAATACTTGAACAGGAAAAGTTCATTAAACCTGAATAAAAGTACTGCACTTTTATAATACCTCTATTTACTCTTTATTTGGCTGCTGTTGTGACAAACATTCAAATCTATTGTTGGACAAATGGATATAAAGTGTGTTGGTCTTCTGATTGACATTCATGATCTAAGGCATGTTGTCTAGGTAGGTCTCTAGAGTAGCAGTTCATTACTGTTCCACTTTAATGTCAACCGCTGAGAAAACTTACCGAGCACCTTTTTATGTACTTCAGCAGACAAAGGTTAAGTATCACTAACGCTGGGCTGTAATTAAAAGGTTCATTTGTGATTAATGGCGTAATTATCTGTGGTAACGACCCCATTGTTATGCACAACATTTAATTAAGACTTCAATAGTTGTAGGTGTAGTATGCGCCACCAGTACTGTGATAGGAACAAACACAACAGGGAGCTTCACTGACCTGGTAAAAGCTGTTTGACCAGAGGAGCAACCATTAAAATGCGAGAGATTTTTATTCCAGGCCACAGACACTGAAGGAGCACAACTAACAGTTAACATTTACAGCCTTCCGTCGAATACCCGTACAGTGTGAAAATGTCGAACACAACTCAGGGATCTAATACGTCCTGCATTAATGGATGTTTCCCACAGCAGTTTATGTTTATGCAAAGGATTTCCTGTCAACTATTAGAACAAAGTCAAACAGTCATTTAACGGAGTAATCTTCATTGACATGAAGCGGACTTTGACAAAATACTTACAAACACAGACGTGTAAATCAAAAGCATTGCTGTTGATTCAACAGGTAACGGCCAATGTTTAACAGAAGCTGTACGTTATATTGACAACGTTAGTGGAAGAATAATCACTATCTCAAGAACAATTATAACAATTCTATGTATTAGGAAAAATAAATATTTAATCCTTTGTTAGTAAAAGGTATAAGCAGTTGGTATATGAATGGTCTGGGTGTGTGTTTATTGATGAAATCTTGTTATTTGAATTGTTTTGACCCTGATGTAAATGTATAATATTACATTATTACATTATAACATTATATGATGAGCCTGAATGTGTTCACAGTTGATAGTAACGGAATTAGACTAGTCAACCATTCTCTGCTGACGCAAAGAAAGAACTTGCTGAACCTGAGCACTGAAAGCCTCAAACCGTTTCAATGTTCAGTTTATCATTTTTGGGATTTTCTTTTGAGAGTGGTGTGCACCGTTTTAATACTGATTCAGCAAAATTAAGGACTAAACATTGCAGGATAAATAAAAAAAGATCAGGTGGCAGTAAAAGGAAAACCTCCTTTTTTAGACAAACTGTAGTGTCTTGATCTCCTCAGCGAAGTGAGGAGATGCTCAGCAAAACAAGTGCATGATGGGTAACCCTCTGTCCCACTTTTTCTTTTCTTTTTTAGAACTACTTCTGTGACTCATGTTAGCATCTGTCAAAGCACACTTATCAATAGTTACGGGCAAGAAAGAGTTTTAGCCCCGGAGGCTCAGACACAGTCATCTCAGTTCAATTGCTCAATGGTTTCCAGCAGCTCAGGTTTGAGGAGGGTGGGGCTCCTTCCACCTGCAGCTGCGATATCTGCCTGAACAGCTTCGTCCCAGGCGAAGGTGAGCAGAGCAGCAGGGACCTGAGGGGAAAAACATTCACATGTTGTCCTTTCAAAATAAATCATCTTGTCGAGAAATCACCTGCACAAGTGTGAGAAATGTAACACTTCATAACTGAAAATAACTCCTCTGCCGTGGAAGCATTTATGGTGTTATGTCTTGTTCTCCAGAAGCTCGATCAGAACCGAATAACAGATAACTGGTTTGTGCTATGGTTCAAATATTCAGTTGAGGATTTTTAACGAACGACTAATAATCAGGTGCCTTTGTTATCTGAGGTTGATTGTTACTTTCCATGTCACAGTTTAGTCATTTGCATATTAGGTTTCAAGAGCAAAGTTTATCGGTGTGTCAAAAACAACTATAGCCTTTCTGATCCAATGCCTAAGCGCAAAAGGTCAACTTAACTTTGCACGACATGTCGTAAATAGGGACAATTTCACCTCAGCTTGAGTGAACTATAAAAATAAAGAGTGTAAACATAAATCAATTTTGTCAGGCTATGTATCCTAGAGTGTTTTTGATTGTCTCTGGGGACCAAAAATGTACGTTGGTATACTTTAACTTAAAGTCCAATTATTACTGATATGTTTCCTTTTTTTTTATTTCACCTGAAGGACATCGTATAAACACTAAGAAGGTGACGACAATCGATATTCCTATCAATTCTGTTATTGGTTACCTTCAAGTAATGACCTCGGTTCAACTCACCAAGTTACTTTCCGCAAGAGCGACATCTTCTGACTCTACTAGTTTCTGACCTCCCGGGGCGAAGAGGTCAAAAGGCTGCCAACCGTCCACCAAGGAGTCCCGCACGAAGCCAAACAACACAGACAGCCGGTCCCAAGTGTAAAAGGTTCCTGTGCACACGTTTAATTCGTTCCGTTATTATTTAGCGTGAGGGATTACTCACTACTCGCAACTTTCGGTCGTCAGAACCTTGTAGGATGTTTCCATCGGGCAGCCTGATCCTGAGCAGTGTGTAGTTGTACTTCCTTCTCTCCCTCTGCTCTTCTTTCTCCCTCATTGCTTTTGTGCGTAACATGGCGTTCTTTTCCACCAAATCACTCCTGAGAATCACAGGCAAAATGTCATTTTGGCAGATGTAATAAAAGACAATCGAGTCAACTGTATTGACTTTCCCAGCTTCTTATTGGACCTTAGAAATTGCAGGACAAAATATGTGAAAGTAGAAGACCACCATTGGTCTTCCATCCTTGTCAGGCCATTACATAAAGAGACGAGCAGGTAATGAGGAGACGTCACCTCTGCTGCTGCTCCCTCTTCAGCTCTTCTGCCGTTAGGTTGTAGAACTCTGATGGGAGCTCGAAGCGCTGGGCGTTGGACGACGGTGCGAAAGCCTGAGGCTGTCTGTCCAGCTGAGCTCTGACTGGTTCTCCTCTCTGAAGACGGTCCCTCCTCTCCTTCATCAACTCCAGGGCATCGGGGCTCTGTTCTGGTAACACTAGGAACTCCTCTTCCTCGTCTGGACACCGGTAAACGCAAGCACACAAATGTCATGGCTAATTTGTTACAGAGAATCGAAACAGTTTCTAAAGATAAATCTTGAAAGTAAGGCTGTCAAATGACCACTGACTTTAATCCGATTAATCACAGGGTATTGACGTTGTTTAGTGACACTGCAGTATGTATACGCTAGACCATCATAAACACTTTACCTTGACCCTCTATCGGAAACATGGTGCTTGTGAAGCCCAACGCCAGCAGAAACTCTCTACTGCCCTCCACACATCGAACTTTCTCCTTGAAGTGGACAAACATTTGTTTTTGAAAAAGGTTCAACGACTGTCACCGTGTCTGACCATAACATGTTCTCTGACAGCACAGATAAGTGACAGCACACCCAGGTTTTTAAATACTGTACCTGAAACACTTTGTTGTTGACTTTTATCTTCCTGTATTTTTCCTCTGTGGGATTCTTACATATGTTTTCCACATACCTGTTTACGAGAGAACAGACAACGATTGAAAAAAATAGTCTTGGTGTACTTTACTGTAAATTACAAATATTGACTATTTGCGTCGTCTCACTTGCTAATGATGTCCACAGCAGCCTTCACCTTCTCTCTGTCTTTGTTGAAGGTGTGAATCATCATAACTGAAGCCTCGACTGCGTCTTCCTCAAACCGCTGGCAGTTTAAGTGAAAAACATTGAGTTTAATTTGTGTAACACAATCATTACGACTGAATGACAATAAAACTTTCTCCATACCATTATAATGGCTTCCTTAACGTGTGAGTCCCTCTCACTTTTAGATAAAGTGGCTCCTGTTAAGGGACAGGTGAAGTACACACCTGATACTGAGAGACATGTGTGGTCTTTAGTTGGCACGTAGGATCCCTGAAAAGATTGTTTTTTTCAATTTTTAGTATTACGGAAAACAGACCTCACACTGTATCAACTCTAGACAAGAGGTGCCCAATAAGTAGGTCGCAATCTAGCAGTAGAACACAGAAGGAGTTCTGGTGGATCAAGAGCAAATGACTAATTATTTTTAGTATTACGGAAAACAGACCTCATTAGTCTTATTAGTCACTATTAATGACCATACACTGTAAGAACTGAATTACATTGTACCATTGGTCTACATGGTTGCAAGGTGGACAAAGAAATTAAGAGCAGTGCACACCTCCCCGGCTGCTGCCTTTTCGTTAATGGCCAAAGCAGCTGCTTCTGCCTCAAGTTCTCTTCTTACTACAAAAGGAAAAAAAAACACTCAAATATCCACAACAATATCTGTTAGAAGAACACCAGATTTGGTTGACAGTATTTGGCTGTGGTTTCACCTTGGTTCCTGATGTGGTCCTGAGAGGTGTGAACCTTCAGCCGGGACTGCTGCTCAATCCTGGCGAGAGCCGCAGCTCCAGCTCTTTGAGCTCCTTCAGTTGGAGTGTGGTGAGTTTTCTTGACAGCGGAGCTGCTTGGCCTCACTTCAGGCTTGGTACTACAGAGGATTGAGAAAAGTTCATATTGTTATTAATGTTTGTTCTGTGATTATGATGCAATCTGTGGACCTAATTCAAAAATAATAATTGGCTAGAATGACTATGACAATAAACAATAATACTAATAAAAAATACTAATACTAATGCTAATAATAATTAATACTTAATTGTAACAACAACTAACTTAAATTAGTTAAATTTCATTATCTCTGGTGGCATCTTGCTTAAGTAACCATACGATGTATCTAGAAGACCGAATGATCTTATTTGTGAATAATCTTACTTGTGGATTAGCTGTCAGCAGACCTGAAATTAGATGGTTGAGCCGATTATCTTGTTGTCAGCTACACACATTGCGACTTTTTAACTTCTCATAGGAGCTCAAGTTTGCTTTATAACATGTTTGTATATATAATGGACAGTTGTACAACTCCGATGAAGCTCAGTTTGCTAAGTTAAGGTCCAAAGTGTGAGCAAATGAGCTAATCATTTAACGCCGTTGGGGAAAATAAAGGTTAGCTATTTACCTGGTATCATCTTCCAACTTCTTCCCGGGTCCTGCCGATTTGAATTTTATGTCCTTCTTGATGTCTTCGAAAAACTTCTTCATTTTTGTCAGCTGTCAATGGAACAGAGACCCACAGAAGACCATTAAAGGCTAACATTAGCAAGGAGGAAAACCAAAACAAGCTTCTTCTTCAGATGACCGAAATTACTTCCGGTTTGTTCAAAGACTGCTGTCACCATCGTGTGGCTTAGTTGAATACTGCTACCTCCTGCCCATTGGTAATATAATACATTGTCCTCAATAGACCCAAATCTGTCAACAATGAAATTGTGTTTAAATTTCAGCCTCTGAATTCATTTGTATAAAATTAGAATTCTAGTGTTTGGAATGAAAGCAATAGAAACGTGATGCCGTCGCTCGGTGGTGAATTTGCCAACTGTTCTGAAGAGAATTTGATCCGCCTTTAATCTACCTTTAAAGATCAGCACCAAATTATAAAAGTTTTGGCTTACTGCTCCCAATGCTAGCATAGAGAGACGAAAGTGAATATAATTTAATAACCCTTGGATCTGTATGTAATAATTATAAGTGTAATTATACACTACTATGAAACTATAATAAACTGAGATTATAACCATGCCATTACCGTAGATTAGCTGAGATTGTGATAATTTTTAAAGCTTTGTTATTGTGTCTTGCTGTCGTTGATGAAATGCTGCCTCAGATGTGAATTGAGGTGTATTTACTGTATACAATATGCATGACCTGGTCTGTAAACCTAAGTGTACTACTTCTGAATGAATTACTAATATTGTTTAAAAAATGTTTTGGATAAAATTAGACAATAATGTATAAATGTAGTGGACGAAAAACGACATCACATGTAGGTGAAAAACGGCATCTTAACTCTCCCAGAGTATAAAACTAAACACCAGCATACTCCAGACTAAATTTAAAAAGCCCGGGCTAAAAGTACTTTAGGAAACTGACATTTTCACAATTCATAAGATAACCCACAATATTTGCAACTCCGTACAGTCACCCTCTCTTCTGTTTTTTTTTTTGTTTTTTTTTCCATCGGATAAATCCAGAATTTCTTATTTGTCGTACACTATTGAGTCACATAGATTCACGAGAAGCACTTAAACGCAACACATACTTAACGCGGTAGTGCCACGTCAAGTGCGACGTCACGGTGGGTGCGGTCTGGCGTGTTCCGAGCAAGTGGTGTAAGCGCAAGGCATCCTCGTCAGAAATTAATGATTTTCAAGCCGAAAGGAACGTTTGTGAGAGGTAAGAACTCTATACTCACTTCTTCGCGTGTGTGGATACTCGCTTATCAATACTTGCCGGTTTCATCTGAGCTCTGCTGCCGCTGAGAGGAAAGAGGGGGCTAAACTGTAGCCTCGGTTCTGTACGTTTGAACGTCAAAGTTTAGCAACTAAATTCTACTCAGCGACTCTAAAGCATGGTCTGCTCTGTTTACATTTAATAGAGCGGTGTCCCGGTAACAGCTAATATGCTACACAAGAATATTTCAAGTCAGTCTTAGGTTTATTTAACGTTATCCATCATACAATTTCCCCCTTCACATCGTTCCCGCAAATTTTATATCTATATATATATATATATATATATATATATATATATATGTGTGTGTGTGTTCATTTACATTCTTCCAGGATCAAATGACGAAACCTTTCTTCCTTTTCCAAAATGGGTTTGTAATTTTACATATCCCCAAGGTAGTAGAATTAAGATTTTTATTTTATCTATCTTTGTCTTGGAAATAATGTTTTGCAAATCTAAATGAACGTTATAAAAATAAAAAAAATTCAGCAATATACTATTTTCATAGTTTGAGTAGTTCAATTGTGTTTAAACTTTAGGTGACGTTGGTGACTTTTAACCGAACGTTTGTTTTAGTTCTTATCATTTCGACCTGATGTTTACTTGTTTTGCCAGCTGCTCAGTGCGGGTGCTGGTACAGCTCTTCAACATTCTTGTTTGTCTTTTAATAAGACTGCAATTCAGGATGCAGATGAAAGGTGTTACCTCAATTAGTTCTAATTGTCTTGTTTTTCCTTTACATAGTGTAGAGCTTAACAAAATCACCGGCACATTGGAACTGTCAAATGTACAGCACTGATTGTTGTGATTATTCAGCATTTTATTTATTTTATAATTTTTAAAAAAATGTACAATGCAGGTTTACTCAGTAATGACATTAACCCGATGACGCTTGAAAACTTCCACAATTTTGATCTCCACCCATTCGAAGTGACTAATCGTTGAACACTCTCGTGGTTCTGCTTCTTATAACTCTTTTGCGTAAAAAAAAAAAAAACCTGATTCCATTCGTCTGATGTGTTTTCGGCAGAGTTAATCAAAAGCACGATTGATCATGGACTCCAGCATCAGCGAGCTCAGCCAGAGGTTGGCTGAGGCCAAGCAGTCTCACCTCCTGCAGTTCTGGGATGAGCTGAGCCCTGAGGAGCGGAGAGAATTGACCGTCCAGCTGCAGGGAATGGACTTCAAAGAGATCAACGGATTCTTTAGGAACGCCATGGAGGTGTCCAGCAGCAGCAAACAGGAGAAGATGGACGCCCGTATGGAGCCGGTCCCCCGAGAGGTGCTGGGGAGTGTGACGAGGGACAGGGAGCACCTGGCACACTGGGAACAAGAAGGTTAGTGTCAGTTGAAATCGCCGTTGTTTACTTTGATTCGTTGATATTAGAATGTGTGCAAATGTGTTCCTTTTTTTTACACCACATAATAACTCACACCACCGCACAGTAAAGACAAAATAAAGACAGATGAAAGGTGAAGTTGTTGGACTAGATTTGCAGTGTTGCTCTATGTGCGTGTCAAATTCCTATAATAATTGAATAATTAGTCCCCATTTTTGCCTAATTGTAAATGTTAAGCAACGTAAAAAGGAGAGGCTGCGTGTGTATGTGTGTGTGCTCTGGTGACGCGGCTGTTCCAGGTGTGTGTCAAACAGCACTTTTAGTTCAACCCTGTCCAAACAGAGTGACTGTTGAGTGTCAGAGTCCCTACATGAGTTCTTTTCTAAACTCACTCTCCGCAGTCTCAACCTCCTGTAGAGATTTGTAACATGAGAAAGTAAGCATGAGTTTTACATTATGTTTTGTGCAATCCTTTTGCCAGTGGGAGGTGGGGGTGAACATTTGTCCTTAGTCTTTCTGTTGGATTCTTTTCTTCTTCTTCTTGTCCCTGGGGGACGACGAGAGGAAGAGAACATCTGGAATTGATTATGGCCCTTGACGTAAACTTGTGTTTTTGCATGACCCTCATCCATGAGGTCACCGTGTTCAGCTGGGGCAAAATCTCCAAAGGGCGTTTTTGAAATGAGGCTTGTGTTTGTGGTGGCCTGAGTCTACCAGGCCTTCTCAGTACATCGATATAATGCCTGCCTTTCAAAGCCCAAGCAGTAAGACTGTGACATTAGTGTTTTATGGGAGATACACTGGTGCTATTATAAAACACACACACACAAAAAATTAGAGTAAAGTTTTATTAAGCTCAACCTTATGGCTTATGGTAAGTCATACTGAAAAGGTCATTGAGGAAAAGTCATAAAACGTCGAAAGTTTTTGTCACGATATGTATCCTTGATGCTCTTAAAAGATGTTGCATTGTACTATGGCCTTTCCTGGAGATTAGATGTTGTGCCAGTAAGCTATAAGACATGTATGGGGTTATATTACAACCCTGCATTGTCATACTACTGTTTATGGTATTCTTAAATAGTTCTGCTCTCTTCCAGGACTTAACTGCATCTCCCAGAGCAAAGTTGCGGTGCTGCTGCTGGCTGGAGGCCAGGGGACCAGACTAGGAGTCTCTTACCCCAAGGGCATGTACGACGTGGGGCTGCCGTCCCACAAAACGCTCTTTCAGATCCAGGCCGAACGCATTTTAAAGCTACAACAGCTGGCTGAGCAGAAGCACAACCTCAAGTGCTACATTCCCTGGTGAGAAATCCTGTATTTAGGGAGCAATGTTTACACCACACTGACCTGAGAACTTTTAATACCAGGTATTCATTATAAGGAACTTCATAGACTGTGTTTACAGTGAATTATGCAAATTTCTTTCTGACATGTGAAAATGTAGGTTCAGCATCAGTGGTTCCCAGCATTGTTCAGGGCAAACACTTACTGTAATAGCTTGATTTGCTGGTTCGAATTCAAAAAGCAATGATGTCATGTCAGCAGGTTTTTGACCAATCAGAAGACAGACATGCCTGTCCTCTCCTTCAAGATTAAAGCATAAGAATCTAAAATAAAACTAAATGGCAGCGCCACATTTCTCTTACTGCTAATCTTTGAACTACTGTGGCCTTTGTAAAGCAGGATGTGTTGTCTCGATGGGGATTTTCTTTTCCTCGTGTGTCAGACATATTTAAAAGGCAGGTATTTGATTAAGGAAGTTTAGTGGAGAGTTTATCAGTCACTGCAGAGCAGCTCAGAACTGAAGTAATAAACATGCGTCATCCTCTCTGGAATCAGAGAAATGACGGCCCCGCTGCAAATTTACATGATTTCACATTACTATCGCGTTCACCTATTCACAATTATAACACGCGTACAAAATGGTGCCACACACAAAACATTAACATTGAAATGTAAATATCATCCATCATCCTGTTCAAATGTGTAAACTGCCCAGGTTTATGTTCAAACACCCAAGAGTCTCAGTCCGTCGGTTGCCTGCCTACATGACCCTGTTGCAACTGCTCTCAGTGTTTGTGTATTAAACATTCTTCTCTTTACATACGGCAGATTAAAAAAAAAAGCAGGAAGAGCTAATCATTAACGATGATGAGTGTGACCGTGAATGATTATTGACCATCTGGAATAAGGTAAAATAATACATTTTCTCACAGGTACATCATGATCAGTGGAAGGACCATGGCGTCCACAAAAGACTTCTTCTCTAAGCATAAATACTTTGGCCTGGACAAGGACAACGTCATCTTCTTCCAGCAGGGCATGCTTCCAGCCATGGACTATGAAGGAAAGATCATCCTGGAGAGCAAAGGAAAGCCCTCCATGGCTCCTGGTAAGGACATGGGGGTTGTTCAAAAAAATATAAAATGTACTTTTGTGGGGTTTTTTTTCTAAGTTCTAAGTGTCTGTGTCTGTGCTCGTTTCAGACGGTAACGGCGGTCTTTACAGAGCTCTAGGGAACCAGGGCATCGTGGACGACATGGAGCGAAGAGGGATCCAGTTCATCCATGTGTATTGCGTAGATAATATCCTGGTCAAAGTGGCAGACCCTGCCTTTGTTGGCTTTTGTGTACAGAAAGGAGCGGACTGCGGAGCTAAGGTCAGTCACATGCCTCTTCATACTCTTTCTCTCCGCAGCTGGTCTTTTTTTTTTTTTTTAAACAGGTGATCTGCAGCCGTGATGCAGAAAAAACAAGTTGATAAATTTAAATTGTTCTTATCTTTGTGTCTAAAATACCAGATATTTACTTACTCTTCCTGTTTGGGACTTTTTTTATAGAACTTCTGTCACCACAGTGTGTAAACACACAGACTATATTAAATAAGATGCTCTAAAAATGTAAAAAGTTAAATTTCAAAAGAATATCCAGCCATTTCCAACCAACAGTTCTGGTTTATCGTCATGAACGTGTTCAGAAACTCCCATTGACCAAACAAACCAGGTCATGTCGAGAGGAGACACAGAACGCTAGCACCCTGACGGTGACTGACAGGACTTCATTTTCCTTATAGCTTAACAGTAAAAATAAAATAGTGATAAGGTTTTATTATGTGTCAATAAAAGTTAATTGGAAATTATGTTTTTTTTATTATATTCTGCATGGAATAAAAAGTGTTTATCTTACATATGGTTCTAGAGTTTATAATCACTATGATAAATTAATCTACCACAATAAAGGACTTCAGATGTGGTTGTGTCATAAACATTTAACCTTATATGATCACTTTGTTCCAGGCTGGCTTGAAACAATGACAAACACGCCCTTTCATTAGCACATGAGGTTAAAACTGCCGTTTGATGACACGTACGCGTGCATTTATATCGCCTGAGCCTTTGTATGTTTGAAGTGGTGCTTATGTAATGTAACACCTGCAGTTGGACGTTGATAACCAACTCGATGATAATCCTATTTGATCAGTCGGTCTTGTCTTTCTTCATTCCTGCAGGATGATACTTGATTTGATTCACTGTTAGCTATCACAAATGTTCCTGTCCTGCATTTAAAGGTGTGGTTCATTTGCTATTAGAGCAAATAAACCATAATAGTTGGTGAACGTGGACCTAGTCACATGATGGTTGGGATTGCTGGCAAACCAGTTTGCGTGTCAGCTCAGATAGATGGCCTTTTTTTTAATAGATGATAGATGTTCTTTATTTGTCCCCAGATTTTGAACATAACTTGAAACAACTTGGGAAAAAAATTCTGTTGAGTTAGATTTTTTATGCTGATTTAAACTAAAATTGACATGCTGATTCCAAAATTGCAGTCAGTTTTTTTTTCTAGCACGTCAAGTTTTTTCTCCCACCAGATAAGCAAAATTCCACTTATTAGCTGTAGTAAGACTTGCCAGCTGACGATCGGACTCATCAACAGCTACGTGGCAACTTGTTTGTGCAGTCACACTTGAGACTGTACTATAAATGTGGACCAAATGTGCGCAGAATGTTAACTTTGTTTAGTGAAAACATCAGGATTGAACAAGAAAAATCAAAGTACAATAGAACATCCTCATCTACCGTCAGCTCATTCAGCTGAAATTCCGGTGCCAGTTTTTCGAACAGCTACTTCCTCTAGAAGATCTGAGTCATGTTGAAGAACGCAGTGACGGAAATGATGCAGATTTTGTTATCGTGGGATCTGATCAGCATGAGGTGAATGATTTTCCTTTTTGTTTAAGAAAACGGGGATCCTATAGTTCAAAAACTTGACGTCAAAAATTAAAATAGTTCAAAAACTTGACGTGATAGAGATTGGATTTTGCACCCAAAAATTAGTCAAAAACAGCTGTCAGAGCTAACTCAACAAAAATTGTTATTCATATTTGCCCAGTGTCAATGGTGATTGGTTCCTGCTCCTTTCCAGACACTTGGTAGGATACAAAATTGTGTTGCCACACACTCGCATCTTCTGTCGTTTACCACTAGGGGGTGACACAGCACACGCTGTCGACTTTCTCAATTAGTATACAGTGGTAAAATTGACCGATGTATTAAAAGGAGTGTTCTCTCTCTCGTTTTTTTTTTTTTACTTTTTTTCAAAATTCTAAACCATATACTTTTTGTCAAAGAAATATACAACGTCATTGATGATGTCATTGCTAAAGTGAATGTGGTTTCTAAGCACAAATATGGTTCGTCACACTATATAAAAGGATCATGTGTGTCCTTAGTTCCTACTGCACTTTTAAGCAAGACAAAGTGAAATAAAAGTCAGTCCCTTTGCGATACAAAGTTTCTTAATAAAGTCAATTCTTTCACCGTGATCTGCAGCTAACGGTGAACAGATTGGAACCTCCTGTATAAATCCTGCTCCTGTTTGACATTACAGGCCGTGTGGTGGAGCAGAGAAGCACAGTCCCACCCTCCCACCATAAATTACCAAGCTCGACCGCAGCCCTTGTGGTGTCACCCCACCCCTCGCACCAACCCCCTCATTCCCACTGGCCTCTGTCATTATAAACCAGCAGTTGGGGAGAGGGACTTTAAAGGGCTAGTGCAGGTTTTTGAAGTGGCGTTCTATCGGTAGGAAACACAGATATGTCATACAGTCATGTTTGTGCCACACTGAAAACAGAACGCTAAAGCTTAGCCTTTTGACTGTACTCATATGTAGATGATATACATGAGTATTTACTGTACTTTCTGTCACATGTTGTTCTCTGTTTCCCTTTAAAACGAGCAGCTGCAACCAGGAAAAATGAAAAGTTCCCTAAAAAAGTTTTTGGCAGCGGTGGCGTCGCCTCCTGGCGGTTAATGCCTTCATCTGTTGAACCTTCTGAACAGATTTGCTGCAGTAGCCACTGCACAAAACAAACAGTAGATTAGGCTAGAAAGATAACCGATAAATATGGCTACATAAAACTTTCACCAGATGCCAGAACGCTACAATCGAGTTCTTCGAGTTTTTATGATTTATTTTATTACTCTATTATGACAGTGCCTAAAAATGTTCACGGGTGGATAGAAAAGTGTTTCTGTGTCACCTCGTGCTGTTAGCCTCTAGTTTTGGAGTTTGTATTGCGATCACGATGTCGGCCGTTGTAAAGAGAAACTTTTTTGCTTGGCTAAAATCATGGTTTTTAATCTTGAGCTTGTCACTTTATCTTTAGTGTCACTTAAGAGCTTAACAGTCTGTTGGTTAGTTGGTGATAAGTTGTTGTTTATTTACTGATTGCTCGATTAAATATAGTTATTGAACTGTTCGTTCATCTTCCAGGTAGTGGAGAAAACCAATCCGACAGAGGCAGTGGGTGTGGTCTGCAAGGTGGACGGTCTCTATCAGGTGGTGGAGTACAGTGAGATCACTTTGGCCACTGCGGAGAAACGCAGTGAAGATGGTCGGCTGGTGTTCAACGCAGGAAATGTGGCAAATCACTTCTTCACCCTGTCGTTTCTCAGAGACATAGTACAGTACGACGAATCCTTTTTTTTTATGCTTCGGTTTTGGTTTCGCACTAGATGAACAATAGCGTTGTGTTTCTGGTGTATGTTAAATTGTATTTTTTTTCCCTTCTCTGTTTTTGTCACTCAGGAAGTATGAGCCAAACCTGCAGCACCACGTGGCCCAGAAAAAGATTCCATTTGTGAATGTTCAGGGAGAGGTAATCCAACCAGACAAACCAAACGGGATTAAAATGGAAAAATTTGTCTTTGACATCTTCCAGTTTGCCAAGTAAGTTACAATGCATTTTTGTATGTGTGTGTGTGTTTGTATACATCAGACGTAGAAGGCTCAAATACAGTGCATCTGGAATTTGAATACATTTAAAAAAAAGAACTATTTTTATTTGTATGGTATTGTAAGAGGAAAAAAAAAAGAATCCATTTTAGGATTAGGCTCTAACATAACAAATTGTGGAAAAAGTGAGGTGCTGTGAGTACATGTTGGATGCACTTTCACAAGAATACAACGAATATTTCTGCCTGTTTTGAGAAGTGGCCTAATTACATATGTTTTTCTGCAAAGCCTCTGAGCCCAGGCCTTTGACTCGTTCTGGATTTCGTTCTTCCGCACATGAACCAACCCCCCCCTTTTTTCCAGTGCTGATCCCAATACGCCAGCCTTAGTCGCGCAGTTCCTCAGAGTCCTCGTCCAGCCGAGCAGGCCCGCCAAGCTTCTCTGCAGGAATATGGAGGTTTTATGAGCTATTAACCTCCTCCGCCCCCTCCATGGTTACATGACATCAGCTCCAACAGAACTTTACATTCAGTGAGAGGATTTCTGTAATGATTGACCGATGGAAAGACTCCGCATAACTTCTCTCCATTATATTCCAAAGCAAAAAGAATCAGTGTCTGGCGTTGCTGTGGAGATAAGTGTGTCAACATAGAAATATTTCAAGGTACTTGAGCAGGTCCAGGCAAAAGGAGATCACAGTAGGTAGTATAGTATAACTGTAAATTTTATAAATTACTTTTCTTTCAATCTCGTGTTGAGACTTTTTTTTAAAAAAGTTCTCATGTCTAAGATGTTGAAACTTCTATAACGAACATGTAAGGTCTCCGTGGTACAGGAGTAGCAGATACTGGTACGCAAACCTAGAGTGCCCTCTAGCGGCTGTCAGTGTGAAAAACATGTGAAATTATATATTTTAATACACATAAGTTGCACCTGAGTATAAGTCACAAATCCAGCCAAAGGATGAATAAAGTGCGACTTATAGTCCAGAAACTATGGTACGTTTTTTTCATAATGTCACCTTAACAGTCTAGCGGACTTGATCACATGGTGTCTCTTTCCTAGTCGGCGATTTGTCAAAAATGAAGTATTTATTAGTATCAATACTTGATGAACGCGTGCTCTGGCTCTGTTTGTATCCTACAGGACATTTGTCGTGTACGAAGTGCTGAGGGAGGACGAGTTTGCGCCGTTGAAGAACGCTGACCGCCAGGATGGCAAAGACACACCCACCACAGCCCGACATGCTCTGACGTCGCTCCACCACCGCTGGGTCCTCAATGCCGGAGGCCACTTCATCGACGAGAATGGCAGACGTGTGCCAGCCATACCCAGGTGACCACAGGCGGCTGAGTGCAACACGGCCACATACAGCGTGCTGTTTCCAACTTCCGTACATTTAAATATTTTTACGAGTTAGAAAAAAAAAACCCTCTTTGTTTACGTTAGAGTCGTCTCATACAACAAGCCTTACACCCCGTGTCTCATGTTTGGTCCCACAAATGTGTGTCTCATGCGCTATTTCCAGAGATGGAGCAGCAGACAGTGTCAAAGATGATGGCAACAGAAAGTAATTATTAAACCCTGCAGCACTGAGTGCATGGTGATGGGGTTTTGGCTTTTTTTTTTACAATACTTAACATTAATCCTGCTATTTAATGTCACCTTTTCTTCATCACCACTGAAAACAGCTGCCTCCATGGCCATGTGCCGTATGGGCTACATTTTCAGTTTCTTTAAAAAAAAAAATGTGATAAAGTAAAGGACATTGATGTCATGTGAGGCTCCCTGAGAACGCAGCACTTTTTTTAGACCTGCTGACAGGTCATGGTCCCCTCGGACATTCTTGCTACTAATTCTTATGTTTTTCGCGTGATGGGTCTGAGGCTCAGTCACACTTTATTGCAAACGACAAACTCTTTCGCAACGGCTGATTTGTCTCCGAGGAGACGACCTTTGCTTGCTGGTTTGAATCGAAGCCCACCTGCTTTGTTTAGCTAAATGGGCATGTGCTTCAGAAACATTCATGACGCCCATGAATGTTTTTTTCAGGCTGGTAAGAGCGCTTCTTCCGCAAACACCTCAGCTTCTTCCTGCTTCCTCGTCAGGCACCTGTACTGCATCTGCCACTGCGGAGCAGAAACCCTGCACTCCTCCAGACGTGATTTTTGTCTGTAACGATTGTCTAGAACTAAACAACCTGAGTGACGGTGGATGTGGTGCAAGGTTGTGACAGAGAAACACAAGTTCCCACTGCCTGTCTCTCACCTGTTTTCTTCTAGAACATGTCCGTTACGAGACAAAGGAGAAATCACTGGTTGCGTTTTGGGAATGAACAACTCTGATTCTGATATTTCCGATCGCTCTTCAACAGAAGAACAACGGCTGCTTATGACTCTCCTTTTTCGCAGGAACAAATCTCTCATTCTTTCTTCAATATTTTGTCTTTTTACCCACCCTGAAACTCTGTCCTTTTCCATCACAGCCTGAAGGATGGAACAGACCTGCCAATCAAATGTGAGATCTCCCCTCTGGTCTCTTACGGAGGAGAGGTGAGCACAGATAAAATAGAGACTGCAAAAGAAAACAAAAAAGTCCGCATCCCGACATGAACCCGATGTTATCGATAACTCTTTCAGGGCCTTGAAGAGTTGGTGAAGGGACGGGAGTTCCGTCCGACCCTGATCATCGACCAGCAGGGGGTGCACGAGTTGGTGAAGAACGGAGTATAGTGAAAATGTGAAAATGGAAAGCATCTCAAAGATCTTGGATTAGTCTCGTTACGTTTACAGAAGCAACCGTTACGTTGTTGTGCAATACCCAGTGCATGCATTCCAGACAAAGAAAATTCCCAGTCCAATCAAACGAAGGAACTAAACAAAGTTTAGTTAAAACTGTCCATCTCCTGTCCTGTTTGTTGACATCATCGTCTGTTTTGTTTTTGTTTTTTTTTCTGACAAACACTTGAACCAAGCCTGAAGTAGGACAGAGTTCCTGTCACACGGACTGGATGAAGCAGATTTTCAGTGACATCTTATTTATTGTGCTTATGACACTAATTTTTTTATACTTACTAGTAGATGATTTAAAGATTTCAATCGCAATTTTTCCAATTTTCCGTGGTGATTTTTATACATTACTGAACTCAAATGATGATCAAACTGCAGTTTCTTATCAGCATGGAATCAAGGTACTCCATTAAGGGCTGTGGGGGTGGGGGGTATTTATAAGATTAGCTTCTTCCCTGCTTGTAATCATGAAAGATAAAACATTCAGCTTTAAGAATACAACTTTGCTTTTTATCATCTTTATTAAATAAAGTCACAAAATGCAACACGTGCGATTTCTCCCTTTTGTGGTTTGTAGTATCACCGCAGCTCTGTGAAAGGTCTGAATGACCTTTGACCTGTTGTTTTGAAACATCTTTGAATGAAGAAAGTAAAGGGATATGACTGGATTCTTATTGGATTAAGTAAATTAGTAAAACTGAAGTGCATTCTTTCACTGTGTCCCACTGCGGCCCGGTACCAAATGACTTATGGACCGGCATCGGTCCCCAGACCAAGGGTTGGGGACCCCTGTCCTGAATGATTATATTTAGGTAAACCATCAGCCTGGTCAATACTTTTTTTTCTCATTAACTTAATTTTTTTTAACACATTTGCATTTGAATTTACACTGTATTTCAAACCTGAAGGATGTGAATGTGGATGGAGAATGGCAGCTTTCGATGTGTCCCGTAACGCCGTAACAAAATGACAGACATCAGGAGAAAGCAACACAAACACTACCTTGAATTGGAGTTGATTCGCTCTCTGCCTGTCAGAAGAAAGTCTCCTCTCGGAGGAAGAAAGGTTTTTTTGATCCAGCGTTGGATTCAGACTTAATTGAAACCTTATGTGTGGCATGAGGAATTCTGGGACTTCTGGCACATTCCCAAGAATCCACAGAATGTGAAGTCTTTTTCCCCCTTCTCTCTCTCTCTCTCTCTCCCTCTCGCTCTCTCTCTCTTTCTTTCTCTTTTCCACTTCTTACATCAGCTCAGTGAGTCCTGCTCCGGGCGGCTGACGGTTAGTCAGTTAGTCAGTTAGTTAGTTAGTTAGTGAGTGAGTTAGATGGTGAGAACATCGAGCCATCTGACTGTCACTTGGATAACCAGGAACACTCTCTGAACAAATGGTCTGAAAGGAGAAAAACATCCAAAAAGTAAGTTCTAAATCTGTAGGATTCCACTTTTTTCCTGCTCTTTCTGTCTCTGTCTGGACACGTAGGATTTAAAATGACAACCATCTGTCCTCTCACGGAGGACGTGAGTTTGTCTGTTTCTAGTTCGTTTTTCTCCTCTTTGGATGCTTGGACTTCTGGCGTCTTTTGTGCTGTGTGTCCGTTTGGTGCATGGCAGATGTGGACGGCGGAGCAGAGGAGACGGGGCTGCTGCTGCTGTCTGTCTGTCCAGTTGTTTCTGCTACTGAGTGATTCAAAATGTCCTTTAGTCCTTTCATCAAAAACTCTAATACAAGAATAGACTGAGAGATCAGTAGAAAAGAGCTTTAGGTTTATGCTTTTTATTGAAAGGAAAAATCAAGAACTCATTTCTGAAACCACCACCATAAACATAAGTGTAAATGATGTTTGTTTCCTGCCTAAACACACACAGACACACACAGACACACACTCATTGTTGTTTTCAACTCTTTGGAAATCTCCTTTACACTTACATAGACTCTGTGCTTCTTTTTGCCCCTGTTACGTTATATTTCGGAGAAACAAACAGCCTTTTGTCCCCAGGGTGCATGTCTTACTTCAGTGTCAGTGGCTGTTACATAGATGGTATATGTAGGACCCCTGCTGTGGTATGTAGCTGACAGGTGTCTGCACACAGGCCTCTGGTCTTTCTGGACATAGAGAGCATTTACCGTATACCCCGGCGCTCAACCTTTCCTGAATCGATGGCAGATGCAGATTTGTTTCCCAAGGTTTGCAGCGATGTCAGCAGCTGTGGTCGCTCCTATTCCTAACTCTATTGTCTGTTTACGACGAAGGTGCCTTTACAGCTATCACCTGTGCTGTAGATTGCAGGGAGCTGCGCCTCACCGCAGCCGGTTTCAGCGTCTGGAAAAATCCTGGTGAAATTTCCCAGTCTTTTGGCAGGAGAGCAGATTTGAAATTAAAGAGGAGTGTGTGTTTAGTCTAAACCGATGCATCAGATGTGTAGAGGCACTGCCGTCTGGGGATTGGGTTTTTATCTAACACCAAGGTTGTTACAGCTCATGGTTTTAATGGTTCAAGGGCAGTAGTCTGTGCTGGGTTCATCCGTGACACTTCACTCCGTCTCAGAGTCTGTTTCAGTGGGGTTTTCTCAGTGAAAACATTTTCTCAGTACCAAAAAAAAAAAAAAAAGGAAAAGAAAAGAAAAGAAAATACATCTGTGGGTGGCAGTAATACATCTCAGAGGATGAAGAACTGCTCCAGAGAAAAAGTCCGAAACTGAGCCAGACTGTGAAGTACCAAAAAAAAAAAAAAAAGGGATGGATAGATAGATAGATAGATAGATAGATGGATGGATGGATGGAAAGATGGATGGATGGATGGATGGATGGATAGATGGATAGATGGATAGATCCGTCTCTAAACCTCAAAGTTTTACTCGTTCCTGTGACGAAGGTTTTTAATCACAAGTTTAAGGTTTAAATGAAACAATAATGTTCCAGTAGTCAAGGGGAAAGAAACACATGTACACATGCAGTATATGTACATGTATACAGTAAGTACTGTGTGTATAGAACCACTTCAAGAGTCAATGTTATCACTGGATCTTTCTAACATGTCAGTCTAATTGTCGGCTTTCCCTCCAGAGTTTGACTGACTGACATCCACACGTACACACTCTAATCACAAGTCATGACCAACGCTGTAATTTCAGTGCCACACTCAAAGCACGACGCTGGAGGCAACCGGTGTTTTACCCAGCTTAGCTGTAATTTGATGCCAACGATGTTTGATTGGAAACATTTCAAATCAATGCCTCGGGCGGCAGTGAAGCAGCGGCGCGCTCTCTCATTTGATAAAAATAAAACATTGTGCCTGGAGTGCTGCGCTGTTGGCGTCACGTCCCGCACATGCTTGACCTCCGACCTTACTCAACTGGAGCCTCTCCCATCGTACGCCGGTGGAGGGAGATTGGGTTTCCTGTGGCCTTAAACATTCTTTACCTGGAGCTTTTTGTCAGACCTTCACTGCAGGACTGAACACAGACGGCTGTGATGTCATCTTGAAGTCACGGCATGTACTGTAACAACCCAGACACAGCAGTGGACCAGGAAACAATATGGTTGCAGTGAAAGGTCATAAAAACTCCTTAATTCTCTTGACCAGACTTTGGCAAACTACGGCTTGTGGACTTGGTACAGCCCGCTGGGCTCTCTGATCTGGCCTGCCAAAACAAATGGAACAAATTACAACAAATCAGCTGTAATTTCAGTTGATGCTACTAGATGGCTACTAGATATAAGTTGTCTCTTTTGTTTCAGTTGTCTCAGTTGTCTCTGTTGTTGCAGTTGTCTCTGTTTGTCTCAGTTGTCTCAGTTGTCTCTGTTGTCTCTGATGTCTCAGTCGTATAAGTTGTCTCTTTTGTCTCAGTTGTCCCAGTTGTCTCTGTTGTCTTAGTTGTCTTAGTTGTCTTAGTTGTCTCAGTTGTCTCTGTTCTCTTGGTCGTCTCTGTTTTCTCTGTTTGTCTCTGTTGTCTCAGTTGTCTCTAATGTCTCTGTTGTCTCAGTTGTTTCTGTTGTCTCTGTTGTCTCAGTTGTCTCAGTTGCCTCAGTTGTCTCAGTTGTTTAAGTTGCCTCAGTTGTCTCAGTTGTCTCAGTTGTCCCTGTCGTCTCAGTTTTCTCTGTTGTCTTAGATGTCTCAGTTGTCTCAGTTGTTTATTGTCTCCATTGTCTCTGTTGTCTCTGATTGTCTCAGTTTTCTCTGTTGTCTTAGATGTCTCAGTTGTCTCAGTTCTTTAAGTTGCCTCAGTTGCCTCAGTTGTCTCAGTTGTCCCTGTCGCCTCAGTTGTCTCAGTTGTCTCAGTTGTCCCTGTCGTCTCAGTTGTCTCAGTTGTCTCTGTCGTCTCAGTTGTCTCAGTTGTCTCTGTCATCTCAGTTGTCTCTGTTGTATCTGTTTGTCCCTGTTGTCTCAGTTGTCTCAGTTGCCTCAGTTGTCTCTGTCGTCTCAGTTGTCGCAGTTGTCTCTGATTGTCTCTGTCGTCCCTCATGTGTCGTCAAGTCCCACAAACTGGACATTTTCCATGTTGTTCCTGGTGGACTCATTAATGGAGTGAACATGTGGAAGTCCTTTGGGTGCAGATTACAGACACAGGCAGATGAGAGCTGGTAATCACCAAACCAGAGATAATTACAGAGGAGATAAAAGATGGACGCCAAAATACAGTAACACACAAAGGTCTGACTTTGTTTGTTTACACGCGTGGCTGGAGTGTTTTTATCACTTCTTCTGCGCTGGTTCTTCTTTGTTTAGAAGAGGCAGCGTCTCTCTGTTTGTTTCTTTGTCTTCCTGCTTATTATCCGTCCATCCACTTCACAATCTCTGTTCATCTTTTCTGCCCTAATGACGACTGTCCAGGAAGACGTGAGGTTATATTTGTACATCAAAACAACCTCATGACACGCTGCACCGTGTGGGCACAGAGTAAGATGTCAGTAAGAAGAAAGAGCACATACCAAAGGTATTCAAAGTTTTTGAAGTAACTTTGTAGTTTCTTGTACAGATACTGTGTACGTCTATAAAGGTACATTTCACAAACTTGAGGTTCCATATGTCCTGGAAAACCTGGAAAATCCGGGACTAAAGAACGATTATATTTTATTTGTTATTATTCCTCCCTTCTTCTTCTTTGCATCACATTGAGAGAAAACAGGTTAAAGGTTTTGCACATGTATGTCTGTTGTCACGTGTGACACTAACAGCCAATCACATTTGAACAGCTCTTCCATTTCCAGTGTCTGTTTACTTTGACGCTAGTTTGGGCGACTTCTCCGTCCGTATGCAGTATTTATCGCCTAGAGAGACATCTAACAACATTCCTGTCGAAGTGTACGTTTGTCTATCATTGTGTGGTTGCCAAGTTTTCTCCCTGGTTACATGTAAATGTATATTTAATCTGAGTGAAGGTGCCAAATATAGGGTACATCAGGTACAACTGTAGAAAAAAAATCGCTGAAAAAATTCTGGAAAATACTCCCAAGAACAGAGTGGAAACCCAGATAACTTATTAAACACACACTTAGTCAATCTGTACAATGTTACTTAATCCAATATCTTCATGCTAATCATAAACAAAACTAGCATAAGCGTATCCAGTGTTATCATTGGCAGTGACCGTTGTTGTTATCCGTTTTGTTTTTTAATCAAACGCAGACGACTGATTTCTACTTAAGCCTTAAAAAACACTTTACTGAATTTCACAATCTCCCTGAGAAGCTGTGTGCAGGATATTATCTTCAAAAAGGGGAAAAAAGAGAGAAAAAGCTCCTTGGCACTGGACGGTGTTTTCCAGTGTGACCGTGTAGCTGTAAAGTTCACCATCTGGATATTTAATCAGTATGGATTTCCAGTCAAACCCTTTAAGTTTCTCTGTTTACGTAACAAACAAAGGCCTCGTCTTTGCCTTTTTGTTCCCACAACGAACGTCTCAGAATCAACGCTGAGACACTTCTGCAGGTAGATTTAATGCAGAGGTAAATGCCAGCAGCCCTGGCCTGGTTCTCATTTACTTTTTCTCTCTCTAATGGCCTTTAAAAATCAGCTGGGAGCATTTTATGAGCACACGCACGCTGCCTTAAACACTTCTCCACCGTCCACAGACCTGAAGGATGCAGGTGGGCTGCTGCTTCACGTGGTGTCGCCTGAATGAAACCAGGTTTCAGTAGCCACCTTCGGTTTAAATGAAATATACCACGAGGAGAGAAAGTCATCATTTATGTCAGGTCTTTTTCACTGGTTTGAATGCATTATACTATTACATTAAATACCACAAGGAGTTGGCTCTCGCTAGCATTACTTCATGAAAATATAATTTCATCCAAAGCTTTTTTTTTCTTTTGGATTCCAATTTTTATATTCTGTGGAGCCAGTTTTTACACCAGATGCCTTTCCTGATGTGACCCAGCACTTTGGTTCACTTTGGTCAAACTGACAAAGAAACC